CACCGCCGCGTGCTTGTGTGGTCATCAAGCACTCTATAAAGCCTTTCCTGGTAGAAATCATTGGGCACATTTCTCTGAAGCAGCTCAATACATTGCAAAAGCGCTTGTAAAAAAAAACTTCTTACATCCTCTTCATTGCCTTTCACATCATTAAATAAAGTTTGCACCAATAAACAAAAAAAACCAAAAAGGATTGGAGGAAAATTCATTTTTAACACTGTCACCTTCACTTTTCACAGCAATCCCCTCAGCAGTTATCCACCCTGTAGACAGCATGTGGGTCCTCAGAATTCTCCAAAGAAGAAAAACAAGCTACACAAACTTTTTTGAGCCACCTTCCTGTTACACTAAAACACCTTCCTGTTAGACTTAAATTTCAGTAGTGTATGTGAGCTTGTTTCAGCAGTGTTTGTAAGAGTGTTTCAGAAGTGTATATGAAAGCATTTCAGGAGTGTTTGTGAGAGCATTTCAGTGGTGTTTGTAAGAGTGTTTCAGTTGTGTATATGAAAGCCTTTCAGTAGTGTTTGTGAGAGCATTTCAGTAGTGTTTGTAAGAGCGTTTCAGTAGTGTTTGTAAAAGTGTCTTAGTAGTGTGTGAGAACAAAAAATTTCAGTCATGTATGTGAGACCGTTTCAGTAGTGTGTGTGAGAACACAACATTTCAGTTGTGTGTGTGTGAAAGCATTTCACTTGTGTGTGAGGTTTTTACTGTAGTGTGTAAATAGGTTTTGTTCTACGTGTGTGTGAATGGTAATCCTGAATAATGTCCCTGACAGCCCCTCATATTTCTTCAGGTAAATTCTCATGCATATAGTTAGTTTGTTGTTGGATGCGTAAAACATCCAGATGAACACTCCTGTTCTTCCACCATTCTCCACTTAGTATTCTGTATGCAACCAAAGCATCCTCACCAGTTCACACTATTTCTTGTGAAGGCAGTTCCAGAAAAAATGCAGATGCAAATGAGAGTAGCTGTTCTCCATCCTATCAGCACACTTCAAACCTGACAGCATAGTAAAGTGGGAAATAGACAAAATCAGATGAAGACATTTTTGTCCAGATGTTTGGACATTATAGCTTTGTCCATAGATGCTGAAAGAACAGAACAATATCTGGTTGTACTTTCTAAACTTTGAAGCAGAGAGCAGAGATGAGCAACTTTTAGTGTTGATGGTGGAAAGTCACTTGGGATGGGAACAGGGGAGGAAAAAAGCAGGAAACAGATGTCTTTTCATGTGCTGTGTTCTAAAACCTCTACTTGGACTTATCTCACTTTAAGTAAATGTAAATGGCCGAGCTTGGTGGTGAACACAGGCTTCTAAACACAGAGGGGAAACATATTCTTTAACACAGAGGGAGGGCGTCATTCCAAATGGAAGGGAGAGACTGCATGTTTTCCTTGGAGCCTCAACCATCTCTTTCCTCTGTCTTTAGACACAAAGAAAGAGAAGGGGAAAAGGCAAGGAAAAAAAGCATTTAAAAAGTCTAAGGTAAAATTCTATTATCCAGGATTTTTTGTCCTCTAACCGGCCCTTTATTTTCAGGAAAGTGATGCTCTATAAGACAGAAAGAAAGATAGAAAATCTTTATTGATACCTACACAAAGTGACTGAATTTCACATTTTCTAAAACTAACCGGAAATTAACAATGGGCACTGTCTTCTGAAAAAATGTAATGTACAATGTACTTTAATTATTGTTATAACTATTATTATTTAAAGGCGTATTAGTCCTGTATGATTAATGTGCTGAAAAAGTTTGCTTCAACCATAGTTTAAATATTAATATATTGCTATTTATCAAGAGTTTTTGTGAAATAAAAAAGTTGCAGAAACTCAAATACTTCTGTTACTCCAGGCTTTATTTCAGTTTTAAAGAAAACAGTTTAAGTCTCCAAAAAAAAAAAAAAAAGGTCCATAATGCTTAACATACTACACAATAAAGAAGAAATAAATTAAATGTTAGAGCCTCATTCTCAGGGGATTCTGCCACACCTGGCCACCCCTGGACACACCCCTAAAAAGATGTAGTTAACATCCAGAAAAACAAATATCTGTAATGAGCTTAATCTGTGTGCTTTTGAAGTATTTGCTCTTTTGTTGGAGCACTTTTAAGAATTCATTACATACCCCATTCAGACAAAACTAATCAATTATAACAAGAGACAACAAATTATATCTGTTGGTCTTCTTACAATTTGTCCAATCTGTAGAAGATAGACAGGGAATTCAGAAAACATTCAGTTTAAATTGAAAGACCCCTTTGGTGGAAGACATTGAATCATTCTTCTGTGTCTTTTTTAATCTGTATGATAGTTAGTATGATAGCTCTCAAATAAGTTTCATTGCCTTGCCTCAAAGCCAGCTCAGTGTTGTAGGAAAAAGTTGGAATGGGAAACACTGAGGGCCATGATTCCTGACTTTCAGAGGGTGAAGGACTCAAAATCACAGTATAATCAGATAAGGAGGTCACATCAGAGGTATCACTGGTTCTTTCCATTGGAACAAAGGACAACATCATGTTTAGAGGTGCATACACAACTTTCAGTGTGTCCTTGTGTTTTAGGTCACTTGTGGAGGTGAGGGTTAAAAATCATTAAAATCATCATCTTTGTACTGCAGACTTATCTCCTTATCTCTGATGTGATGGAAAATGTTTCTTTGATGGCTGCAAGTAGATCATCCACAGATAAGGGCATGCCAGTGTTGAGAGTAAGTTTCTTGATTTCGTCATCAATTAGGACCCGGAATTCTGTAGCGTTTTAATGTCACCACGTGCTTTCCTGCAACAAAATAGGCTGACAGCAGATAATCATCACTGAGGCTTTGTTGCCCAACCAGAGTTATGCGTTGTGTCCTCTCCAGGTAAAATCCATGATAGTGCTCATCATATGGGGGAATCTGGCTTCTTACAATAAAATAAACTTTTCCCCCCAAAATTACAACTTGAACAATCTCTGCAAAAATTAGGAAGACCTGCTGTGCAACCATGGGCCACAATCATGCCTTTTTAATATCTTTTTCCCTGATAGGTGACTGAATCAGTCAGCTGTATATGTGTCGGAGGAGGAGAAAGACATCTGACTGACTCCTAAACATTGACATGAAGAACATCTAATAGCACTGTTGATACTCGTACAACACTCAGAGCTGATGCATCTACTGTGGAATGCAAGAAATGGCTGATAATAAGCTGATGCTTTTTAGCCAGGGAAAAGATAATGTTCTTGAAATTACCAGTGTGTCTCACAATCCGTTTAAACTGGCTGTGTTTTGCTTCAAACCTTCTTGTCCAGAAAGCAACAACTGGTCCAAAAGCTTTTATTGATGCAGGATAGTGCTCCAGGAAATGGTGTTTTAGAATCAAGATTTTATTAGGAAGTACTTCTTGAAATCTGTGACGATGTTCAGAATTTTTTGAGGCAAGATCATAGACTGTATATACTATGGACAACTTGGTTCCGCCTACCGCCTGTATACGGATTTGAAGCCAAAAAGCTCTTGGTATTTCCGGGAATTTTTTTTAAACCAGTGTTGCGCAGTAGCAATGCGCGCATTCGGCCGCGCAGTCACAGAGAGTCGCTGTGATGACGCTCAGCTCAAACAGCGTATCCTCCCGGGTGAGCTATGCAATCCCTGAACGCCCATAGGCTGTATCAGGTGTCAATCATAGAAAACATGACCCCCTTAATAACTTTTAAAAACTGAGCTTCACAGAAAAAATAGGACTTGACCACAAACCAGTCTTACAATAACTACATATCAACATCACAAGGGGGTGGGGGGGATTTATGTTCTGTGTAATAAATTTCCAAAGTTTGTCCACAGCCCCATAAGCTTTGCTTGCAGAGGGAGAAGGGTGTCTATGCAGAGCCGGAAAGCCCTGCAGTTTCACATGCTGCAGTTCTGCGCCGTGTGAAACTGCAGGAGGCAGAGTCTCAAAGTCATGTAACCGCCACCTTTTTTTCTCCTCTTCATTTTCTTCTTCTTTGTTGACGGTAGTCAATAGTATGTAGCGGAGTTTGTACATCGAACGGTGAGTATTAAAAGTGAATTCCACAACTTGTTTAGCGTCTCCGAAATTGTTCACTTGATTTGAATGAGAAATGAATGTGTGGTTGTGCGGACGTTAATGATATTTACCATGATAATCTGAAAGACACGTTGAATATTTGTCTTGGTTAAGATAGCTAACGCTATTGTTAGCTTGTTGGAAATGTTTGACCCGTAGACGACTAGCCACCATTATATTTACTGAGACTGAAGTGCGCTGACAAATAATTTTAGCATGTGTATCAGATTGAACATAAAAAATGTATAAACAGTTTAGGCTTTCTGAAACGAGATGTCCCATACATGTTGGAAATGTCTTTTGAACGTATGCATTTTTTCATATATTATATCAGGTATTTCTTAGTATATCATTTTTTTATTTTTAATTGTATGCATATCTTATATAATTGACATTTAGCCCACATTTCTCTTTTACATGAATTAGGTTTCTGTCTATGTATACAAAATCTTATCCAAACGATTTCATGTGTCTAATTATGATCTCTGTTTTTAAGATGCATATTACAATTCAACAAGGGCGAACACTGCCTGAACTAGTCTGTTGCCAGACATGTTGCAGGCAGTACCACTGCCCATTCTGCTCGTCAGAGATGTGTAAGCCTACCAGTTTAAGGAACATTCAAATTCATCTGGACCATCATTTTAACCGTGCTGTCAACCATGAAGGTATGTTGGCAAACATTATCCTGGGATATGTGTACAGTATGTAGTTATCAAGTTGCTACTGCAACTTCATTATCCAACAATTAATCAAATAGTCTTTTATTAATTGATTATGTAATTATCTACTATTTAGTTTCTTATCCTTGATTCATATTTTGAGTTGATGTAATAATAAATTTTAAAAAATACCTGCACTAAATTCTATGTTCTTATGTTTAAGATAACACCATTCACAGATGTGGCCTTGGCTGGAGAAGCAGCTTTATTACTGTTTCAAGTGCAGAAACACCATTTTGTGCAGAGCAGATTTCGAGAGACATCTGAAATCTTGCATGCATCGCGACACCACATCCTCCACTGCAGCCCTGTCGGCCTCCACAGCAGCCCCGGCGACATCCACAGCAGCCCCGTCGGCCTCCACAGCAGCCTCGCCGTCCTCCACAGCAGCCCCGTCGGCCTCCACAGCAGCCCCGTCAGCCTCCACCCCAGCCTCACTGGTTTCCACAGCAGCCCCGGCGGCATCCACAGCAGCCCCATTGGCCTCCACCCCAGCCTCACCGTCCTCCACAGCAGCCCCTTTGGCCTCCACAGCAGCCCCGTCGGCCTCCACCCCAGCCTCGCCGGCCTCCAGGATAGCATCCACAGCCACACCCTCCCTGGCCCCAGGTGGAGCATTGAAAAAGGTCCACATGAGGCCAGTGCTGAAAAAACAATGCCCAATATGCCAGCTTTCGATGAAAATTAGAAATGTTTAGAGGCACATTGAAAGAAGGCACACCAAAAAAAAGATGGACATAACTGCTACCTACCACCTATGTAGTGAATGTATAGATCCAGAAAACGGGATCTATTCAGTCCAAAAATCATTTTTAGGGAAAAGTAACCCCCTCCATGTGCAAAACAAGGTGTGGGGGGATGATCACCATTTTTTCTGTGGATCAGATGACTGCCAGGTAAACAAGGAGTTGGCGTGGAGGTGTAGTTTGAAACCCTTCTGATGCGAACATGTAATATCCATTACCTATTGTGTCAGTATATCATACCTGTCCTACACTACAGGAAGACACCCTCTCAGACATGGTCAAAACAAAGTGAAGTACTGCATCCAGTTGATCATGAACCCAGGAGGCATCTAATTCCTGAGGAAATACTGTGCCACCACTGTCCAGGCAATGTGCCATTGAGTGACCCAGTCCTCATCACTAACAGGGCAAAGATTCTCTTCAGCACTCACATAGTGCAAGGTAGGCAATTTATTTATTAAAATATACTAAAAGTGTGACATATCATCTGATTTTTCTGAGTATTATAAACTGCACTCTAAATCGTGGATCTTTGGCTTTCCAGATGTCTCCACCTACATAAAAATATGTCCCCTGTGCCGGACTCGGTACAGATATCAAGAATGGAAAGAGGGGCTCCACAACTTCAATGATCTAATAATATTTGACATTAACTTATGCATCACAATAAGGAACATGTTACAGGTCATTTTTAATTCTACCTTAATCATGTACTGTCAATCTTTCAATTTCTTTTAACGAAGGTTTATTCAAATTATCTTTCTCTTAGGTTCATACCGCAGTCAGCAGAGTAGTTGAGTATTTAAATAGCGGAGTCCAGTTCTCTTCAGCTGATACTGTCCTTCACGGGTATCTGCACTTTGAGGCCCTCTGTGAACATGAATACCGATTTTCATGTGTCACCTGCAGTGATGATCCACCAGTTGTCATCATGGACCTCCACAAAAAGAGTGCCTTTCATTTGTCAGGTAATAATGCTTACAAAGATTAAAATAATTGAACTGTCATTTGTTGATGCTAATACTCATAATTTACATATTTTGTAATTCCCCCCTCCCCTTTTTTTATAGCTAGTGATCTTGCTCCACCTCCAACAGAGTTCAAAGGAGAAGTTGACCTGGACACCTTTTGGGAGGCCCTTTCTATGGAGCAGATCGGACGAGGATTTGTCCCAAGTATGCAAGACCAAATTAAGAAGCATACCTGCAGACTTGTACTAACACATGAACAGATGTTCATTCAAATACAAATGGATTTATTAACGTGATTGTTTTTTTTACAATTTTACAAATTTTACAATTCCACAGGTCATCAAAGAAATCCATTTGTGGTTGCCCCATCTTTCACTTTTGGCCCCATGGATTGGCAAATACACACACAGGTCAAACAATGCCCTTAATACTGAGTTCAAAAAGATGCAACAACCAAAGGCATCTGAGGCGAGTGACATTACAGTGTCAGAGGACAGATTAAGAGAAGAACTTTACAAACAGAAGATAAAACCATCTTTTGGTTAATTTTTTTTAAAGTGATTTATAGGTCATTTTCCAAAAACCACACCGCCTTATATTCATTGTTTCTTATTTGACAGGTTCAAGTCATTCAGGCATTGTGTCGAGGGTGTGGATTGGATTCCTCTGGATCACGGACTGACCTTCTTGTCAGACTTTCAAATGAAATGAAATCGCGGGAGTCTTATGACAAGGTTTTTGAAAAGATTTGGTCTGCTTCAGGTGAGCTAACTTTGACAGTTGTATTTTGAATAGGGAAAATAATTTTTAAAGGTAATGCTGTTGGATTTTCTGAAGTAGAATTCCATAATGACACCCAAAGCTTGATCTGTAACAATCTGTCTTTTCCTCTATCTCAGGTGGATGAGCTGTGATCATGTGCCCATGCGGCATTGTATATAGTATAAAATGTAATATTCGAGCTGAAAGTCCACGGGACTTCACAGACCTCCTACTGTCTTGGAAACACATTCCAAATGTAGTCGTTTATGACTTTGCACGTGGACTTGCAACGCACATGAACCTCAGAGATCCTGAGAGGTTGCCCTTCAAACCCTATGAAGGACGTTTAGGCGACCCAACTGAACAAAATATCACCCTGGCCAAATCAGGGAAACTCAAAGGTGTCACTGCCCTGGCTGAATTTTAAAAAACTTGTCCCAGACTGTGATGGTCATCCAACAACTGGTTCAGCAGAGCATTATGCTCTGTATGATCGGTTCCACGAAGACAACACCAAAGATTCCCGAGATGCCCTGAGGAAGCTTCGGCTGGTTCCACAGCTTGCGGGAAAAGTAAACAGTCAAGTGGCAGAGCAGCTGTTTGCAAAAATGAAGAAAAACAATTACTTCTTAAACATGGCATTACCATCTACCCATCTGTTCCTCTTGAGAAACATCATACATCACTATAATTTTTATAAAAACAAACAACGCTTAAACAAAATGACCAAGCTTTTTGGAACTGAGGTAGCATTGAACAGCTACGGCCAAGCTGTTTTGGGTAGGTTTTCTTGTACAGATATTTGGTGCAATTATTATTAATGTGCTATACTTTATTGTAACTCATTCTTGATACATGTGTGCATAGTGAATCCATCTTGTTCAGAGAGATCCACCACTGAACCTGTTCCAATTGACATTGATCCACCAGCAGGTGAGTGATGACAGGAGTCATAACCCTTTCGTCTTGTAGTTGCATGGCAGTAGGTTCCTATCATACAAGTATTTTATAACAGAATTTGAACTTTTTTTGTTCTTTAATTGGACGTAGTACCACCGGCTGCCACTGCCAGTGAGCCCTCGGCTGCCACTGCCAGTGAGCCCTCGGCTGCTGCCACTAGTGAGCCGACAACAGCAACCACAGCCCTTGGCTTTTCAGCGGAAATAAAGCCCTGGGAGGAAAACTCGAACCCTATCCAGAGCAAACTGGTAGGTTATCTAAATCTGAAGTTTTATTTATGACACATTGACACACAACTAATTGCTTTTATTTTCGCAGCTCAATTATGTGCTGGATAAGAACCGGCCTGCAACAGAACTCATTGTGAAAGAAGGGCCATTTGCCGCGTGAAGATTTCTGGAGCCTGGGGCTATTAAGAGACATGGACTCTCAAGTAAGTAGAGTGTGAAAAACAAAAAAGGATAAGCTTAAAAGTATGTTTATAATCTTGATTTTTCTCTTCCAGATTGGGAATGCCAGCTTCAAACTGATTCATGAAGCAGCTCTGCAACTTGTGGGTAACCTTTTTTTATAACGCGCCTAGAAATTACAAAGCTGTCCACGTAACTTTTTTTGGTTTTTACCTATAGGGAAAAGACATTTATATAGAAGACATGTATGTGGTTCCTACATGGGAGCATAGAAGAGGAAACATTGTTGCCAACTTTCCAGTGAGTGTAAATAACTATGGATTTTATATGAACACTTAAATATTTAGTTATGTCTAACCTTTTGTTTCTAAAATGTTAGGAGGATATTGTCATGAAGCACTGCCCGGTCTTCCCATCATGGACCAACGCAAATGGACCTGATCACTTTGTTCTCTGTGTAAGTGAATTCAACAGTACTTTTATTGGTGGCCAAGCTGTGTGGCACTACAAGGCAGCCTTTTTTGCTGGAATTTTTTCACGTTTTTATTCTCTAATGGGAGTTTATGGCATCCCCCAGAACCCCTTTGAGAAAAGTTGTAGAATTTGACACACGTTATCCTTGGTGTTATCAGTGTTTTGTGCAATTTTGGTGTTTTGTTATGCATTACTGTCCTATTTTGTTTTAATCATGTTTATTGCAGCAGAGTGGACGCCGGCTATGATCACTTTTAAATTCTTGTGCATCTCCTTACTTACTGTATGTTGTTTTAGATCATGAAGCCACTCTTGAAAGAGATGATCCTCTTAGACTCCCAGTACTCAATGCATGAGTCTGGGTTTGGTGAAGCTGAGTACACAACAATATTAAGGTAAAAAAATGAGACATGCTGTTGCCATTTTAATATGGCTGAGATTTTGGCTACGTTCCTATAGCTTGTACTGGTAAATGTTGGCTACGTTCCTATAGCCTTAACAGGTATATTTTGGCTACGTTCCTATAGCCTTGCATGTCGTGTGTACTTGCATGTCGTGTGTACTTGCATATCGTGTTTACTTGCACGTCGTGTTTACTTGCATGTCATTTTTAAATTCCTATAGCCATATGTTTCAGTGGTTGTCACTTATGTAATATAAATATCTTTCTGTTGGAATGATGATCTCTTCTGATGGATGACATTCTGTTTTGAGGCTTCAGAAGTCCTTCTGCTCAAACCTACTTTCAAGAGCCCTGCTCTGTGAAATGAATTACACCCAAGCATGTGGCAGCCACTGTAGACATGCGCACTGTAATGTCATTACAAATTTGACTTCAACAAATAACTTTTTCTCTTTTTTATATAGACAAGTTGCTCAGCAAATTCATCCAGGGAAATGGACTGAGAGGACTGGACATGACATTCCAGTAAATATTCATTCGTTACAGCAGAGTATTGCCTGTAATATGCACTTTGACTAGAAGAAACAACACAACAGCTTCTATGTAGGTCATATCTATTGTTAAAATTTCTTTTTTGATTTTAGTTGGTGCCACGCCAGACCTGTGGAAATGACTGTGGCATTTTTATGCTTATGGTAAGGTCTCAGTTTGTTGGGAAAGCATATGCAGACCTCTGGCGACAATATTAATAAATACTTATTTCCAATCCTTCTTTTCCAGTATACCCTTTGTATTGTCATGGGCATGGGTTTTGAGTTCCAAGAGGTTAGTCACTATTGCCGAATTAAGTCCATGGGCTCTATTTTCGTGCGCGCCGGTGAGGCGGCGGAGGGCGGCGAGCCCCGCGCAGTTGTATTTTCGTCTGGCGGAGCCCGGCGTAAGGCCAGTTTGGTATTTTCGTGGACTGAGCCGCACGGAGGCGAGCCGAGATCCGCCAAGCTGGGCGTGGTGGCGTGGCAGGGGGAGGTGTCGACAGAATCAGCCGGCACAGTGACATTTTCGTGCTCGCCACCGGCGTGTAAAGTGCGCTGAAAGCTCGCCGATTCAAACCTGGTAAGCTTTCAGCGCATGGCGGAGCGCAGCTGGTCTAGTAGTATTTTGGTAGACCGGCGGCGTATCGACATACATCACTGATGCCTCACCGGCAGGTTTCCACAGTGTCAGGCACATTTCAGTGCAATAAATAATCATCATCAACTATTAATCCGAGTCAGCACATACATTTAGATCTATATAGATATATTCTGATCTATATGTGATCTGATGATCAACACAGCTGAAACCGCATCAAATTAAATTAAATATCTAGTAAATAAACACACATGATGAAGTTAACAAGATATGTAATTCGTCTCCCTCCTTTTCTTTCTTCCTCTTCCTCTTATTTCTCGCACAGCTCGACCTGGACACATCTCCATGTCCTCTGTCCGTCTTGCTGCTGCTGCGGCTGAACAGATGATTTGTTTCAGTGCTCAGATGCGTTATCTACTTTAAGCCGACATACGGATATTATAATATTCAGTTTTGTGGGCCAAATTTATTTTATATGCCAACATCTATGAAAGAAAGTGCCAGGCCACGGAGCGCGATGCGTCATTTACGCACAGATGGTTCAGATTTTAATGCCATTTTTGGAGTTTATGTTGTAATCTGTGTGCTCAACCCACCTTTGTCACGTGAGGTTTGAATATGAGCAACTTTATGTGAGTGTCTTTATTTGTGGAAAAGGGTGTTTGTCTTACCACTGGGTCCAACATTACACACACCAAATCCATCTGTGCTCATATGAGAGAGTGTGGAGGACACTTGTTGAGGAGCTGCCCTCTGTCGCCATCTTGTGGCATTACTGTCTTAACACATCTCTTGATCTCTTTGACTACTTCATGAAAATAGTAATACGCCTCGCCTGTGGTGGATTTAAAGGCAAGGAGAGGAGCTTATGTGATTGGTGAAAACAGGTCTCGGCTGTGTTTAAACCCACTCCACGCCCTCTCTCCTCCCCGTCTACAACTTATGCTGCTGGGAGGAGCTGAGTTAGGAAGGGGGGATACTTACGCCGGGCTGCGCGGCTCACCAAAATACCAAAATGTGCTTGGGAACGCCTTGTCAGCGCGGCGGATCTGACTGACGCTGCGCTTGCGGCACGTCTCCGGCGAGGCACGAAAATAGAGCCCCATGTCTTAACATCTTGAAGAGAGGATACATTAAGATCTACAACTTCCTATTCTTTTCAGATTGACATGCCTTTGATTAGGGAGTGGTGGTGTCTTCTCCTGATGCAGCGTTTTGAAATACAAGGGTACGACAACTCTAAACGTGTTCTTTATTACTTTGGGGGTCACTCGCTATAAAAGCTAAGTTGCTGATACCAACATGTCAATAGAAAATAGTTGGCTGTTACTGATGGCTGAACCATCAGTAACAAGAGATGTTTAGACCTTTGATGGCATTCTTTTTTTTTTTAAGTATTATGAATGTCAATTTTGCAACTATGTCCTAGTGTTTTTTTGCATCTCTGATGATTGTTATCATTTGGAAGGCATGGGCGGAGGTTTGCTTTCTGGACAGAAGAGGCCAAAAGCTTGCTTCAAGGCACCCTCCAGCCAGTGTTTCGAGTACAAAAACAAAAGGTGGTCACAGGAGAGGTTGCTGTTGATTTCATTCTGCAGTCCACAGGAGCTGAGCAGCATTTGGTGGTACTTTGTTCACACACCATACAAAATAACTCACAGCAAAGCTTCGGTTTGGTGATTTGCGTTTCCTAATTACCGCAAGTGTTTTCTGTTTTGCCTTTGTCCACAGGATGTACTTCAAGGGAAGCCCTCACACTGGATAAAACTGGAGTTCTCAATCAAGGTGCCTGTGTACACTCTCAAAACGAATGTGTCAAAAGTAACTCATCGTGTTATTTCTTAACACATCCGTGTGTCTAGTTAAGGACAACACACAATGTGTTGTTTTGACACATGACTTTGTGTTGACAGATTTTACACGTTGTGTGTTAAATGTGTCAACACATCAACTGTGTTGGGTTTACACAAAGATAACACAGAGCTGTGTCATATTTTCATGCAATTTACACATAGCTGCATTATGTATTCTTCACACAAAAGTGTTTTATTTTCATACAATTTACAAATTGCATTGCGCTTTACAAAGCGCTTTACATTGGATAAATCATTCATTCGCTCACACAGTCACACTTGGTGGTGGTAAACTACCTTAGGAGTCACAGCTGCCCTGGGGCAGACTGACTAAATCGTGGCTGCCATTTTGCACCTACGGCCTCTATGACCACCACCACACAACACTCACAATCATACACCAGTGGAGGACACACATTGGGAGCAAGGACACATCGGACAGACTTGGGATAGGGGGAATCGAACCGCCAACCTTCCAGTTATTGGACGACCGCTCTTACCTCCTGAGCTACTGCGATTATCTGCTAAATTACCAAACCAGGGGTCCATTTCACGCAGGTGGTTCAACAAACTCTGAGTCAAATCCTTAACTCTGAGTTGATCTCTGAGATATGAAACTCTGAGTTTCCGGTTTCACAACACCTGATTTGAGACAGTTTTAGCAACTCCGAGTAGTTTGACCTGGAGTTAAGCACGTGCATGCCAGACATAAACAGCCAGCATCTGTGGAGCCCAGATTCATTGATCAACCAATGGAAACAGGGAGAAGGAGGGGGCAGCAGCAAGCCAACGGCGAATTACAGCATGTTTTTTAAAGAAAGTGCAATACAGCAGCAGCTGCAAAGGAGAGGGAGAGGGCATGGGAGGAAATTGCTGCTCGCGTCAATGCGTAACTTTAAATCTAGTCTTGCAATCACAATGACAGACTGTTGCAGGGGAAACTGTGTGCATGGAGCAAATTAATTTATTTTATGTAGGTGCAATCCAGCGGGTCAAAAACGCACTTGGCAGCAGCTGAAAATTAAATATAAAAACATTGTGCAAACAGGTGAGACCTTGGCATTTTGATCATGTTTTACATTGTCAAGTAAGTACTAAGTGGCAATGCTCTTTTCACACTCAAAAATGAATTTTACTCTTTTATTATGTTCCGTTAAATGATTAGGAATATTAAAGTAACACAGACTTTCAGTCAGCAAACAGAAAGAGGGCAGATACCAGAAAAACGGGCGGTGGGCCAGCAGCCCCACCTTTAATGGAGGCAGAGTAGCTGCCTCCGTTAAAGGTGGGGCTGCATAATAAG